GGCAGTCTGGATCGGCATTTTACATGCTTTGCCGATACGCATTTTTTTGCCAATATCGGCGTCCCGATCCGATCCACGTATCGGATCGGGACAAGCCTAAAGCAAGCACATCAATCAAGGCACGGTGCTGAATCCAAATTATATTGTCTCAATACAATTTATATTGTACCCCTACCGTGACATAAGAATCGGAGGGCCGGTCAATCCTGGCAGGGCAGCAACCCGTACTTACGCAACCCTAGCAGACCCCACCAGTGCCAACCGCCATCCGTCATTCATGCCAAACTTCAAAGGAAATATCTTTCACCCAATCAGGAAAAGTGATTGCTCCCTCTCACGCCTGGAGCGCATGATTACAGAAACCAAAATATGGTACGGGCACCCCCTCCGAACCCACCCAGGACAGCCGAAACCAAAAACATTATTACATCATGGTCAGAGCATGGCACCGAGAGCTCGTAAGTACAAAAACAAATGATATCATGCTCTCAAGGAAACAGAAACTTAGATAATGAGAGTGCTTAGGTAATAAGAGTGCTTCATTTGTGATACAAAACTTGTATGATTGTCAAAGAATATAAAATATAAAACCCATATATATATCAACGACGACAGCTGCAGAACCTCTGCACGGGGGGCGTCACGCACAGAGACATATTAGACGGTTGAACCATAAATTGGCCTTAACACCGCATGAAGCGTAAATTCATGGTATGGGCCTTTTAATCAATATGTGTACTATAGGTTAGATTTTTTTTTATCAAAAACAAATCATAACGTAACATTTTATTTGTTTTCCTGATCAAAACATACTAAGCTTACTAAAGCACAGCCGTCCTTTCAGTATCACGGCCTGAAAGAACCTGTAGCTGAGACACAGACGGGGTTTGAGGTCCGTAAAAAGAGCACTTTCACACGCTGTTTATGCGATGGAGTGGAGACCACCTTAGATGAGGTTTACTTCAAATCTGACAGATATACGGGCTCTGACTCATAAACCAGAACAAAAACTCCACCCCAGCCAGTTCCTTCCGACCTCATCAGATGAAAATCACTCCCGGCCAAGTGCTCTGCCCTTATCATCGGCTTCTTGGTGCCATTGTGAGCCGTGCCAGTTCCACTCAGCTTTCCCAGAGAGTTATTATCCCACTCTGAGTGGAAACCATTCATTTCCCCACTTCAGACGGTAATGAGCAAGTAGAATAATCATCTGCTGCACTCTGCAAAACACAGACAGCACCTGGCTCACACTCAGAGCAACCCTGACTATTACCCAATTTCAGAAAGCTTTTCATTTTCACCCAAACGTTCACAGACACTCGAGGCGCGTCACTGCGAGCGTACCCCTGCTGCGACGAGAGAACCCGCTCCCATCCCACCGTTTGAGGTTCAACAGGAGCAGCCTTTATGTTGACAAAGTCAGTTTTTCTAGGAATAAAATGACGACAACGACCTTTTCCAAAGCAGTAAGGAAAATTATGCCTGCAGGCTTAATTTCTGTTTTGCAACCTTCGATTAGGCAATTCACACTTCAAGGCAAAGCATCAGGTAACACAAGAACTTCACTCTAAAAAGCACAAGTCGAAATCCCTTCTCAATCTAGGTTCAAAAGGAACCGAAAGTAACCTAAACCTCATCTTTCTGAAATGTTATAGTTAAATCAAAAACAAAACACAATCTAAATGTACCAATCTTAGAAACCCGATTATCTCACAGATTTTTTCCCACAATGTTTTTCCAACTTATGGATAAAAGTCAAGACTAGTAGCGGCAGATCTCGCCGTCACACAAGAGTTGGCTTACACATCCATGTAAACAAGGTTTCGCAAGAAAACCGAACGGAAAAGGAAGGAAAACCCACCAGCACTTTGTGGTCGACCTTTTTACCCTTATTATCTACTGATACCGGTTTAACTTTGGGTAAAATGAGGACATACAAACAGGTTTTTAACCACCATGGAGGAGGGGGCGGAAAATGAACTGAAATCTGTGAAAGGCTACAAAGATCTAACTAACAGATTGGGGTTAGTGCTGGTATTTAGACAGCAAAGATTTTCCATGGAGCTGTTCTAACTGTGAAAAGTCGCTTTAAAGACGCAGAAATAAAAAAAAAGAACCTGTGGTGGTCCCACTCTGCTCTACAGGGATGAATGTAGACCTAAAATGTCCTGATAATAGTCCTGATTTTGAGTGTTCATGTTTCCAATTCTCTTTCTCCCAAAATCAGATGCTAGATCCTCTCCTACTGTTTCCTTCAAATGGTTCAAACTGTTTTTGTATTAAAATCCATATTTTTTTATTTAAAAAATCTTTTAAACAGAAACGAAAAGACCACAAAAACGCTGTACTTCAAGCACATTCTTTGATGAAATATCCTCAAAAAAAGTCAAAACTTGCATCTAAATAAAACTGCATAACGTTTCCTAACAACATGCTAATGTTCAAAATTAAAACATTTTTGTGGTTTTTTAGGTGGTTTTAATTTGCATATTTAAAAGCTGCAACTCATCGTGTCTAACCCACACAAGTCTTCCAAAGATGATTGTTTGCTTTAAGACTCATCTAAACTCTGTCCCATCAAAAAAAAAAATCACTGACCTTCTGATCATTACTCCTTGAGTCCCACAAGGTTCTGTCCTCAGCCCTGACATTTTTCATTTAGTAAACACAGCGCATTGCACACAAAAAATGGTCTAAACTGCATTCAGACATTGGTAAAAATCTAAATATTAAAAAAATGAACTGAAGGGAAATATATATACACACACACACACATAAATATATATATATATACACATACACACAAACATATGTACACATATACACTTACACACATAAATATATATATATACACATACACAGACACATATGTACACATATACACATACACACATATATATATACATATATACACATATAAAAACATATACACATAAATATACATATACACACATATATATATATATATATATATATATACACATATATACACATACACACACACACACACACACATATATATATATATACACATACACACACACATATATATACACATACACACACACACACATATGTACACATATACACATACACACACATATATATATACACATATGTAAACATATACACATAAATATACACACACACACACACATATACATACACATACACACACATATATTTATATATATACACATACACACACACATATATATGCACATACACACACACACATATATACACATATACACATATATATATATATATACATACACACATACATATATACATGTACACACACATATATACACATATACATATATATACATACACATATATCTTTACACATATATACATACACATATATCTTTACACATA